GGAGCATTGCATACTGAAAGGAAGAGTGGAAGCTCCCTAGGATACAAAGGTAATACCAACCAATGGTGCTTTGATATATTTTTCAAAGAAAATATATACTAAGACTGTGTCATTCCTAAATTTATTTTAAGTAGTTTTGTATTTTCCCATTTTAAATGGGTAGACATTCTTGATCAGGGGTTTACTCTATCTGAGAGCCAGCCTAGCAATGTTAACGTTCACATAGAGAGCACAAAGGATGCTTTAGAACAGTGGTTACCAACCTGTTCGTGTTGAAGTCCTGCTTGAAGTGGTTGGTATCAGTCCACCTCATAATGCATGCACTTAAAGGTACATATATATTTATTATTTAGAGTGTCTTTGGGCTTCTTGAGAAACACATGTTGCTGGTGCATGCAGACAACAGGGTATAACTATGTATTTATCAGATTTTGGTTGTAGAAAAATTAGTATATGAATGCAAGCTGTAATACTTAAGAAAGACTTAGCTGGTTTGAAAACTAAATAACACCTCCCGTTGTTTAAGCTGTTAAAATTTTTCATTCATTTGTAAGGGTGTATCAGTGGGTTTTTGGTTCTTCGACCTAACTGATTAGACGGAAAGCATTTCTAATAAGCCCTGTCTATTTCTTAACATCAGCTTCTCTAATGCAGAATAGAATTGTTACTGTCTTCTGTATTTCAGGTGACACAGACAGCTCACGGGAAAATACAGTTATTTCTTTATCCAAATGTTCTTTAGAGTCAGAATTTACTGAAAGTGGAAAAGACAACAGCATCAGATCTTCTAGTGATTTCCTCCAGAGTTTCAAAGTCTGGGATTGGTAAAAGGCATTTTCTCTTCAGCTCTCCTTTATCATTTGTTATCTTTCACAATCTAGATAAACCATATGTAAACAATACATTCAGATTGCACAGATGCAGAAGTCGTTTTAAGATTCTTTTCATCTTACTATGTACTGTCTGCGGCTGAGGTATGAAATAATGTGAATGCCAATTTTGATGAGGAATATTGTCTCACTTTCTACTCTAATCTGTGTATGCTGGAATTGCTAATAGCAGGGATGATATAAACTGAACTAGAAGGAAAACAAAGACTGATAAACAGCTTTAAGTTTATTTAGAGATAATCTGATTCCAAAAGCCAAGAAGGGTCTTTTCAGGGCTAGTTTACACCAAAAATGAAAAATAATTTAAAAAAGCATTTTGTTTTTTTAGCTTTCCTGGAATTTGGTGATTGGTAATGAAAGGAGAGGTTTTTACCTGCTGCAGATGTGCTTACAGCCTGAAAATTCTAGCTATTCTTATTAATCTTATGTCAGCAGCATTACTAATTGTTCTGGTTAAAATCTTGTGAGTAATAATGACTTTTATCCAAATGATTTTACTCTATTTGTTATCAGTCAAATATAAAATTCTCAGCTGTTTACGTTTTTATACAGACTTCTCTCAGTGCTCTATATGTAGTACGTGAGAAAGGTATTGAGTAATTTCCAATTATTACTTTTTTGTATTTGTTTAGGTTTGATGATGAGCAAGATTCATGTTGTGATTCAAGTGATCTAGAAAAAGAAGAAAAGGCCATTAATTGGTCTGAAACTGATGCAGTTCAAAATACAGCTATATATGTGGAAACAGGTAAATACTGAATTTTAAATATTTTTACAGCTCTGTGTGAAGTATGACATGTATTTTAAACTTTCTAATAAACGTATTTCTGTTTGGTTCAGAAATACAATGATCAACAAAAATGTATTTTAATTTGGGGATTTAACCTTTCATGTCAGTATGAGTAACACCTATAGGGTTGGTTTAGGAGGTCCAGGCATTCTTGATGAAATATTAACATACATTTAAGAAAGAAAAGTCAACTTTTTATGAAACTGGTTGCCACGTGCCAGTAGAAATGAAGAAACAGGATGGTTTGGAGGGGGTTTTGTTTATTTGTTTTGGTTTATTTTGTTTTAAGTAGCTAGCTGCATTACCAGATAGTACAACTCTTTTAAACCAGATGTCTTTTTTCATTTTAAGATTGGAAAACTGGCACTAGGTAGAGAAAGGATGTTAACTCAGGAAATTCTAGCTAGAAGGTTGTAGCAGGGACCAACTGTCATTCATTCACAAAATGTATGAAAATGCTGCTGCAGTTGAAGGGGTTTGTGAATCAGTGTAGCTCTGTCTGTTGTAGAGAGTTTTAGGTTTAGAAGGACATTAATATATCCTTTTAAAAGTGTATATGAAAGTGTAGAGACAGGCAGGCAACCAACCAACCCCAAAGTGGCTATAAGGAACCTCAAAAGTCGGGCAGAACAGATCAGTGTAACTGTAACAGACTCTCATCAAAAGTGGTATTAAATGAGTGGGGACTGTATAAAAACAGCTTTCTGGAAACCCATTCTGTCTGAAAAGAAAAAAAAAAAGAAAAGAAGACACAAACCCCCGAACCGAACAAACTAACAACATCAAAAAGAATTTAATTGCACCAGGAACTATGTTTTCCTCATTGATCTGAGTTTTGCTCTATATGTACCTGTTGTAGTTTAAACTCCACAGGCAGCTCAGCCCCACACAGCTGCTTGCTCACTTTACCTTCTCCCCAAGTAGGGAGGGTGAGAAACAGAAAGGTAAAAGTGAGAAAACGTGCAGGTCAGGTGAAAAACACTTTAATATGTAAACCAAAGCCCCACATGCAAGCAAAGCAAACCAAGAAATTTATTTACCACTTCCCATCAGCAGGCAGGTGTGCAGCCCTCTCCAGGACAGCAGGGCTCCATCACATGTAATGGTTATTGGGGAAGACAAGTGCTATCACTGAACATTTCCCCCTTTCCTTCTTCCCCCAGCTGTATATGCTGAGCATGACACCATATGGTCTGGAATATCCTGGTCAGTTGGGGTCAGCTGTCCTGGCTGTGTCCCCTCCCAAATCCTTGTGCACCTCCAGCCTGCTCATTGGTGGGGTGGGGTGAGAAACAGAAAAGGTTTCAACTCTGTGTAAGCACTGCTCAGCAATAACTAAAATATCCCTGTGTTATCAACACTGTTTTGGTCACAAATCCAAAACAGCTCTATATGAGCTACCAGCACAGTACCTAAATTTGTATTTCTGATACTGTCACCTAGGTAATCTTGGCCTGATGTGGTACCTAGGTGCAGTTGGCCTTGCAAGATGTCTCCCCCAAAAAGATCATAACACTTACCTTCAGTTATCTGTGAATTTTGGGTGCTTAACTATTTGTGAAATCCAGCCATTCCTCACTGTGCTGTCTCCAACTTTTATCAGCTTCTTACACTGTAATCCGTCATGTCCAGCTGTTTCTCCTGTCATGACCAGCAGTTTCTTAAGTCTTGTTCTCTTAACTTTGATGTCAGGCCAGGGTCTAGTCAGCAGCAAATCACTTGCCTGAAGACCTTACAGAAAGTTCCTTACAAGAGGAGGTTTTGGCTACATTATGATTCAGGCTGTGCATAGATGTCATACAGATATCTATGAGATTTCTGTACTGAAGTAGAGGGTATAGTTGTACTTATAAAACACCATTGATCACTGATCATTTCAGCCAAGTCATGGAACCCAGCTTTGAGCAATTCTTCATAACTCTTTAGGAGATTACTTTCTCATTTTGCCACGTCTTGCTCTATATTTGTTACTTTAAATGGCTAAAACAAGTTTTCACTGTTTTGGAACAATAGTAATGTCATTATTTATCTAGGATTAATTTTCTAATATAAAATGGGATTTTCCTTTCCATAGGCAGCACCTTACCTTTTCATTTGGCTGCAAATACACAACAAAATAGTGACCAAAATGTTACGAATGGTTTGCTAAGGAAAATTATAAGTGGAACTAATGCTGCAGCATGCAGTACTCAAGGCTTAATACCGTCTCACATCAGTCAAATTTATGATGAATTATTTGTCATACATCAGAAGCTCCAGGTAGGAACTGGAATCACTTTAAACATTTTGTTGAGTAATGTTACAAAGACTTTCGCTTTTGAAAGAGAATTCAGAAATTACTTATATACTAAAAAACTATTATACTAAGGCTATTGGTTATTACTATTATTTATACTAATCACAATGTCTTATATACTAAAATTCTATCATCATCCACCTCTTCCTCTAAATAAATTTGCTGATTTGGTAGTGGTACTTTGTCTTGCATAGTGGGTAGATAAGACAACAGTCTTAAGGGAGTTTGAACGCAGCGCTTCTACATCCAAGAGTGTCTTGTGATGAACTGTGGGCATAGAAGGAAACACTTGCAAGTACTGCTTCTTCTGAGAGCATCCAAAACTTTCCTCGTGACCCTAGGCATTCATGGCCTCCTCTTAAAACCCTCCATTCTGCCTTATCTTTACTTTTGCACTGCTGAGGAGTCCCAGCTGTTCATCCCCTAGAAGGCCTAGGCCACTAGCAGAAGAACTTGCTATATGGCTTTATTCTGTAATAGCTCCCATGCTTCTGCTGGTTTCCCTGTCAGGACTGCCTTTTGCATTGTATGAGATAAAAATAATTTTGTGTCTCTTTTTCCTCACTGCTTTTTCAGGGTTGCTTCCCACTAATCAAAGAAACAACATAGTAATCTCGTGTTCAGTGTTTACAGTCAAGACTCTCTTTCGTCTTACAGTTAATATTATTACCCAAAACTTTTGAAAGCAAAAGCCTAGGCTTAATTGTCTTAAGTTTATAGTTAACAATAATGTAGAGTTGAATTTTGTATTCTGGGAAGCTGAACCATCCTGATGCTCATCAAAGTCATTTGAGTTAATGTCTGGGGAAACTGAACATAGATAGCCATCAGGATACTTTTAATGAGTAAGCTATTACATAACACTGTATAATTTTACAAGAAGCTAAGCTTATCTCTGAGAGAGAAAATTTAAATTTGGTATAAATTGTGAAAATTTCATGTTTTTTAAAGCCTTTTTTTTCTTGATACAGAGAGAAAGTTTAGCGCAGCAGGAATACGCTCTCCAACTCCGGAAAAGAGAGCATTTCATAACAGAACGAGAAACAGTGCTTTTTAGACATGAAGGAGCTTTGGCTAAAATACGCGGTGTTGAGGAAGAAGTTCACACAAAACTTGGAATTATAAAAGAGGTGCAGTAATATCTTAAATGATATTTATTGCTCTACATGCCATTTAACTTATCTTGAGCCATCACGTTTGCTGGATATATAGTATTAATTTTTTTAAATGCTTGAAATCCATAAATGAAAGACTTATATAGAAAGTACCACATAAAATATTTAGGGGGTTGTATTGCTTCTGTTTCAGAATGGTGCATTTAATTGTCTTATGCATAGATACGTTTCACTGTTACAATTTAGAAAAGAGGTAACTTGTTTTTAAAACAGAAATACATGACCACTGTTAGAGAAAAAAATTGTGGTCTATCCATACTTCTATGTAACTTCAATTAGTATCTTTGCATTAGCCGTAGTTGAAGTAGATATCCTTGGGAAGGCTTGAAGACACAATGAGATCTTATGACATAACAACTATTGCAGAGAATATTATCAAAAAACACTCAGAGTTCAAAGGAAGAAAGATCAACCTAACTTTGGAAGTGTGGGAGGAAATGAAATGGTGTGATTTTACTATAAGAAGAGGTGGTAATAACAACACTGTTCTTGTGAGTATTTCCTATTGAATTTAGGTCTTGTAAAGCTTTGGTTACTATCCAGAAGGTCACCAAGAGAAGCCCTGAGATGTATGTAGTTTGTGTCAAAACCGTAAGCTGAGAAATTACATTTCTTTAAATGGTGCAGATAAACCTTTCCTGCAAGTTGTTGAGGGAGGATAAGACTACATTTTAAAAAGGGGGAAAAGGCGTCAGAGGAGTGAGACCTCAACTTTTGTAGGAATAGGTTTAGGTGTTAATTTAGGTGTTAATTTAGATGTTAATTTAGGTGTTAATTTAGATGTTGCAAATCATATAAGAATGTTACACCAGTTAGAGAACTGGCTGGTAAAAACACAGGAAAAATTGGTGGTTATCTGGGAAAATCTGTGGAGGAAAACTAAAAAAATGGGGTGCCTGTCTTGTTAAAAGGGAGAGTTCTACAACCATCAACTTAATGTCAGTTCTCTAAGTAAGTAAGTAAATGAATAGATTCTGAAAAAAAAGCTACGAACAAACCATGGAAACTGTGATGCAGAAAACAACGTAATAATTAACTACTAGCATATGTTAATCATAAATTGTCAAATCAGTCTCATTTCCACTACAGCAAGGTAATGGCCATTGCTAATAGAGGAGGAGGAGTTATATGTCTGGACCGAATTAGAAATGTTTTATATAGTTTTGCATGGCATTTTTGTAATCATGTTAGTAAAATATAACATAAATGTAGTGCAGTTAGTGTAAAGATGCAGTGAGACAGTAGTTCACAATAAAGTTGAAGGAATGTACCTAGTGAATTTGGAATATCTTTTCAGTCCAGTATTATTCAGTATTTTCAGTGAGAAGTTTGATGGTGAAATAGAGCACATTCATTAAATTTGAAGTAAATAGCAAGTGAGGGTGAATTTCAAGCATGCTGAAAAAGAGCATTGTGATTAAAATTGATCATGACAAATTGAAGATATTGTAGGTCTGAAAAAACTACTATTCAGGAGGTATGAGTGTGCAATATTGCATTTGAATAGAAATATCATCTACAGAAATGGAGAATAATAGGTGGATGCATGGGTTAAACATACAGGATGAATTGAGTGTTAATGTGCCAATCTTCAGCTACATAAAAGGCTGCAATAAAGAGGAAAACTGGTTTGTTTTTTTTTCATGTCTGTGATAGCAGCAGTAAGGGAAAATTAGGTAAGTATTAGGAAAACCTATTTGAAAAAATAGGTGAGCTTACAGAGAGGTAGATTGGCAAGACTGTAGTGTAGTATCGGAGGACTTAAGAACAGCCTAGGCACACCTGGGAAAAGTGAAATGGGATAGCTGGTTATGATATAGATGACACTACCTGATGTATATAGAGGTGTATATATAATATATATATTATATATATAATATAAAGGTATTATATAAATATATACATATAAAATAGTCTCTTGTAGAGCATGAACTAAAACCATCAGTTTTATCAGTGCTGTTCCCAGGCCAAAAGTCAAAAACACAGCACTGCACCAGCTACTAAGAAGGAGAAAAAATGACTGCTACTGCTGAACCCAAGGATCCATCCCTCGTGGTGTTCAAGGCCAGGTTGGACAGAGCCTTGGGTGACGTGGTTTAGTGTGAGGTGTCCCTGCCCATGACAGGGTGGGTTGGAACCTGATGATCTTAAGGTCCTTTTCAACCCTAACTATTCTATGATTCTATGTTTTTAAATTTTGTATTTCTATAGCAACATGAGGCAGAAGTTAAACAGCTGACAGAAGTCTTGAGAGAAATAACTAAAGAAAATAGGAGGCTGAAGTCATCATTTGACACCTTGAAGGAAGTGAATGACTCTTTAAGAAAACAGGTAAAATTAATTATTTCCTGTTATCAGTAATTTTACAACAATTTTAAATATTTGAATTGCTTAAGTTTGGCAAATTGCTAATTTTTTTTTATTTCTTTTGTAAGACAAGAAGTGTGTGAATGGCTGAAAGTATTTTCTCCACCTGTTTCTAGTACTTGAAATTTAGCCTGACTCTTTACAGTATAAATAAAGTTGGACTTATTCCTCTGACCCACTAGTAACAGTAGAGACTTACTCTTTCCCTTTCTCTTTTCCCCATGTCAGACCTAACTCCTAGAATGTTGATGGTTCTGGTGCAACCTATCTTTCTCTTCCCCTTGCTACAAAATTTTCATGCTTCCATGCCCGTGGCAGGGGGTTGGAACTGGATGAGCTTTAAGGTCCCTTCTGACCCAAACCGGTCTGTGATTCTGATAAGTTAGGCGTGAAAATAACAAAAGCTAGGAGAAGAGGCACAGTTTAAAAGACTCTGTAGAGGGTTTATGAAGGTGAGGAGAAATGTAGCGATACATTGGTGTAAAATAATGAACAATACAGACGAGGCTAGGCAAATGGTCCCATTTCTTCTTTATTGCCAGTAAAGGAAAGGGGATGGCTTTTGAAACCGAAAATTTTCATTTCATTCTGATTTGGAGTGTGCAAATGAAGCATAGTTGTTCAAAGATCACAGGAAGAAATACCTCCAGCTTTGTGGCCACTTAATCACAGCCAGTACCTGGAGAGGGAGAGAGAGAAGAGGGGTGGCCATAAGGGAAGATTAGGAGAGGAGAGGAGGGGCGACTGTGAGGGGGCAGCATGGATGGCCATGAGGGGGAGAGCAGGGGCAGCTGTGAGAGGAAGGGAGAGAAGGCCATGAGGAGTGAGGGGACAAGAGGAGCGGCCATTAGGGGAGATCATGATGAGAGAGCAGAGGTAGCCATGCTGGGATAAGAGGGGTGATCATAAGAAGTGAAGGGAACATTGTGAGGGAGACGAGGAAAGCCTGTGAGGGAAAATCATAAGGAGAGAGCAGGGGTGGCCATGAGGGATGATCATAAGAGGAGAGCAGGGACAGCCATGAGGGGAGATCGTGAGGGAAGATCATGAGGAGAGAGGAGAAGAAGCCATGAGGGAAGATTGTTAGGAGATAGGAGGGGGCGGCCATGAGGGAAGAATGTGATGGGAGAGCAGAGGAAGCTGTGAGGGAAGACCATGATTGGGGAGCATGGGTGGTCATGAGGGGAGAGGAGGAGCGGCCATAACGAGTGAAGGGGACATTATGAGGGCAGAAGAGGAAAGCCTGTGAGGGAAAATCATAACGGAAGAGCAGGGCTGGCCATGAGGGATGATCATAAGGGGAGAGCAGGGGCAGCCATGAGGGGAGATCGTGAGGGAAGATCATGAGGATGGAGGAGGGGTGGCCATGAGGGAAGATTGTGAGGGGAGAGTAGGGATGGCCATGAGAGAAGATTGTGAGGGGAGAGCAGGGGTGGCCATAAGGAGTGAAGGGGATGTCGTGAGGGGAGAAGAGGAGAAGCTGTGTGGGGAGATTGTGGTGGGGGTAGACATGAGGGGAGTCATAAGGGAAGAGCACAGGCAGCCATGAAGCCTGAGGGTTGACCATGAAGGGAGATATGAGGGGTGATCGTAAGGGGTTGGTGCAGCAGCTGTGCAGTGTGGGCCACTATGAGGCACGGATGAGGGGTGGCTGTGAGTGGAGATTGTGAGAGGCATCCATGCGGGGAGATCAGTTTGCCCTTAGTGACATTGTTTAGTGGTAGTGTATTGGTTTAGTCAGTTCTGGGGTAATGGTTGGATCTTAAAGGTGTTTTTCAACTTAGTTGATTCTATGATTGATTGATTCTGTGATAATCATGCTGCTCATTGTTGTATACATAGAGCATGTTTCTTACATTTGAATAGTTTACGGTTTCCTTCATCTTTTCTCATGGAGCAAACTGGTTTTGTAGCATGGTCAGTAACTGTTTCATTTTGCAAAGAAGAAAGCTATCACCTCATTAACAAGACCGTTTTTGAAAAGTGCTCTCCATTTTCAAGTTACTTCTTCATCAAAAGTAATGAAATGTATAGTACCTCTATATCCTGAGTGGCATTTTAGTGCCTATTCTTCCCCTGCAAATTGAAAAGTTTGGCTGCAAATCATCAAAGAGCTAGTGTATTATTTATCCTGGAACAGGTTGCCCAGAATGGTAGTGGAGTCTCCCAGCTTGGCAATATTCCAAGGCTTTCTGTACATGATCTTAGGCAACTGGCTCTAGGTGCTCCTGCTCGAGGAGGGCTGTTGGACCACATGATCTTCAGAGGTGTCTGCCAACCTCAACCACCTTGTGATTCCATGATTTGTTGAGGAGTTGGATGATTGTTTTGTTTCTATCACTTCATATGCTCAGAAGAAAGAACTTGAACTGAAATAATGTAGGTGCTCACCAACAATATTAAATTATTTCAGTGCAATAATGAAATCAAGAAATGAGTTTTGAATTTACAGATACTTAAATATTTTCTGATTCTTTCAGTTAAGTGATGTAACTGAGCTGAACAAGAAGTTGGAAGGTCAAGCAAGAAAAGTACAAGCTCGTTTAGAGAATCTACAAGTAAGATTTACTTTTACATGTACCTGCTTTCTTTATAGGTGACAAGTTAAATAAAACCCATTGTTACATTTTGTTGTAGAGGAAGCATGAATTGTTAACAGTAAAGAAGTCTAATAATATCTGTCAAGTGGTGCAACAAAGTAAACCTGTCAAGCAGGAAAAAGTGATGGTAACATCGAAAAATGCTAAGGTAAGAGCTGGTCAAAATGAAAGATTCATTCAAAAAACATTAGGTACTGGAACAGAAAATCAGAAAATGTAACTGCCAATTTTAGTTCATGAGTGAATTAGTTACAGTAAGAAAAGATACAGTTTATATTGAGGCAAAACAGTTAAAGAATTAAGCTTGTTGCTGTTGGATTTTATATTGTGTTTGTATATACTAACACATATATATTTATTTATATGGCACGTTTTCCTCTTCCTGTCATGTTATCTTTCATCTGCCAATTAAAATTATAACGTGCTTACACTGGCTTCTTCTAATGTGTCAAAGCAAATCTTAAACTCATTGTGATTACTGCTACAGTACAGCACTGTTCTTATGAATAACACCAGCTAAAAAGTACTCAGGTTGAAGTATCGGATAAATAATTTTAATTTTCTAAGCCAAAAATTATTACTACTGTTACTTTATTTGTGGCCAAGCACAGGATAAACTATGCAACTGATTGATCTGTGCAGCACAGCACAGGGTCTGTGACACAGCATCTCTGACTCGTCTATGCACAGTGGTCTCTAGGTAAGGATTACCACCTTCCACCACTTGATCCACATCTGTTTACCTTTCCCAGATATAATAGTAAGTTACAGGTTGTATTAATAACATGCAGGCTTCTCAAACCCTAGGTGCAAGGTCCAACAGAGCACACGTGGCCTGTTTGAGATCACTTTTTCTTTTAATATAATGTATTCACAGGCTCTGAATACAGTAACTTACCTCCCATATTTTATCAGGCTCATCATCCTTTAAATTATGCATAATATCTCAGAACTAATATACTGATATGTTTCAGTCTGTTACTGTTTTGGCTTAGACAAATCATTAACTTAAAAGCTGAAATATCTGATGTCATATATGTATTACAGCTACCAACGAATTCACAAGTTTATGAGCTCCTAACTTTTCTTATGGATTGGATCTCAGACCAGCATCTTAGCAAAATAAAAATACATGAAGAAAGAGAGGACAGTCATAAACCTCGGACTATCGAGACCTCAAAAAAGATCTGCACCCAGGAAAGATGTATGAAGGTAAAGGGGTTTGGATTGTTTGCTTGTGTTAATGTTTTCAGATTTATGGGTTTTTTTTACATGATTCTGACAATATAACAGGTCAGCCTGTTTTATACATGCTTTCAATACAGTGATTAAAAGAAAATCACTGTTACTAAATGAGTATTTATTCTGTCAGTGTGATGTAATAGATAATTTGACATTTGTAAAGCATACAGATCATTTTTTGTTCAGTCTCAAGTTTCAGTGTTTTATTTCACGTCGCTTCTGTCAGTTGATAATGTCTTGTGTCTTGTGTGTATGTAGTTCCTTTTTCCTAAGATGATGAAGAAGTTTAACTTAAAATATTTTGATGCCTATATTAGATATATAAGTTTCAATTTATAACTGATAAATGGTGATACTATGCTATACTTTTAACACTTTTATTGTTTTCTTTCTGGGGATACCAAGCTTTGGAAATCAGTATGGTGTTTGGAAAATCTTCTTTTACTGTTTTTTCTTAATTATATTAAAGATTTATAACCACTGAGATTGGATTTACCAAGGTTGAGCATATAAATTTTTTTTTTTTTTTTTTACTACTGCATGTAAACCTGTGTAAAATTTGAAATCTCTGTTTGTGTGCAATTCTGTTACATGTACTGGATCTGGCCAGTGAGTATTTGCATATGTAACCTGTTCAACTCCAAGAGACAGTTGTGAGTTCTCTTTATTTGTTTTTCACTTATACATTAGTTTCATACACTGCATGTAATTTTACTTCTGTATATTTTTGTAGCTTCTGCCTATAGCTACTGAGCAACTCCAGTGGATGCCATTTGTGAATTCCAAACTACACATGCCTGTAATTAAATTTATTTACTGGTCTATAAGACAGTTAGACAGTGGTATTCAGGTAAGATAAATAGTCCTCTTGCAGTATGTTGGGATTTTTTTAACTTAAATTCATAGAAGATATTAATAGAGTTTTTGTTTTAAGTACCTATGAAAAGTGGATGCTTTCAGGTAGTATATATAGAAAGCCTGTGCTGTCTTTACAAAGCATAAATTGACAGTGTTTGTCACAGATAGATGGCAAGTGAAAAAATAAATTCTTTTTCAAGCTAATTTTAGGTTTTGCATTGTGTATCTAAACAGAATTTTCTTAAGTAGTTGATCTCTTAAGTGGTGTCTAAGCATCTCGGAAATTCTATTTTTACATATGTATTTACAAAACTTCTGCATTAGAAAAGACTTTTCAGGTTCGCTTTATGCGTGGAATTTGTGGAAAGTGATGGAGTAAGTGTGTGACAAAGCTGGGAAGTAATTTCGATTTTCATGTTCTCTGTTCAGTGTCTAACCTCTAGACACTCCTTATTCTCTGACTAGACTGCTGTAAGAAAAGATCTAGCAGTATAATAAAGGAAAAGACAGTCGACATACTGTAGAGAACCAGTATAGGGCACAATGCTTTCTTTCAATAGTGCTCTTGCTAAAGCAAAGGTACGAAATCTTGTGAACATCTTGAGTTTAAATTTAGTAGAATAATGAGCTGTTGGTTTTATTGCTAATAAGAAACTGTATTTTAAAATAGCATATTGTGATGTTTGATTCTGAAGTAATATTTCTGTATAGTTTATGATGAAAAGGCTAATAGATCTGAGCTGCAGAATGTTCTTAAGGTTTGTGATTAGACCATGATTCTGTAAATGCTTTTAAAGGATATGATTTCAGGCAGCCTTATAAAATAGAGTAGGCTGAAGATGAGCTTATTCTGGAACCAGAGGCAACCTAAATAATATCAGTGTGTCAGGGGCCCTCATTAACTAGTCTCATTATGAAGCATATGTTGATATGATACATGATAATGTTGTTCAGCTGCTTTTGTAACACGAAGTAGTATATCCCGTACAGATTATATTTCAATATGTGGTCAGACAATTTGCTACCTAATATTTAATCATTAGGGAAACATATATATCTCTATATAGTACACAGGATTTTAATATGTTTTAATGGTTCCTCCAACTCTGCATTTTTTGAAACAGCATGCAGCAATGACATCAACAATGAGGAGACTTGGTGAAGATATTTTCAAAGGCATAGTAATTAAGGGAAACCCAGACAGTTCTTCTGAACAGTCTACAGAGAGTAAATCAAAATTGGCAGCTTTTTTTAAGAGTTCCTGTATGCCTTTGAGATTTCTCTCAACTTTAATTGTGCTTAAAACAGTGACACAAGGTAAGTTCTACTTTTTTAAATGTTTATTTCAGTCATGTGCCTGGACAAAAAAATGTTTTGGTGATACTGTAGAGTCTACTATGCTCTATTAGTGAAAAGTGGGTTTGCTTGAATTTTACTAGTTTGTGAAGCAAAATATATTGGAAACAAGTAGGAATCTTGCTATTAATCATTTAACGTTGAAATTTGCATGTTCCTTTTAATACAGCAACTTCTTGTCAGACCAACGTTTCTGAAGAAGGGGAAAAGAGATGTTGGTAATTCTGTAAAACTGTCACTGCAGCAGCAATTGGTTTAACAAGATCTTTGTTGCATTGATACACAAAGCTAGTTGCTCTTCTATAAACTAAATAATGGATTTTGCACAGTTGTTTACCTATCCCTGAAAGGCTGGTCATCTGCAGTGCCAAGTGTTTTTTCTGACATATTAGTTATCTTTATAGATAAATTGCATGTTCATAGGTATTTCTTATGTATATTTAATGACACAGAGAAAGCCACTCGTGTAGTGGATGGTAGTTGTTGAATCGAATTGTGTGTGATACAACATAAAAAGGACATGGAACTGTTGGAACAAGTCCAGAGGAGGGCCATGAGGATGATCAGGAGACTGGAGCACCTCCCGTATGAAGACAGGCTGAGAAAGTTGGGGCTGTTCAGCCTGGAGAAGAGAAGGCTGTGTGGAGACCTTATAGCAGCCTTCCAGTATCTGAAGGGGGCCTATAAGGATGCTGGAGAGGGACTATTCATTAGGGACTGTAGTGACAGGACAAGGGGTAACAGGTTCAAACTTAAACAGGGGAAGTTTAGATTGGATATAGGGAGAAAATTCTTTCCTGTTAGGGTGTTGAGGCCCTGGGATAGGTTGCCCAGGGAGGTTCTGAATGCTCCATCTCTGGCAGCGCTCAAGACCAGGTTGGACAAGGCCTTGGGTGAGATGGTTTAGTGTGAGGTATCCCTGCCCATGGCAGGGGGGTTGGAACTAGGTGATCTTAAGGTCCTTTCCAACCCTAACTATTCTATGATTCTGTATTTCCTGAAATTGCTTTGTCCTTTGGTCTGGTTTAGTATACAGTCCAAACTCCAGCCTTTACCTGTCTGCTGCTCCCCTCTTCTCCTACCAAGTCTGGCACTGCAAATGGCTATCCATAAAATATTATCTATATAGAAAACTGCTGCTCTATGAAACTGGCAGTTCTTGATGCAATTGTCCTTTCAGATTTCACTGTTAAATAGATTCATTTCCAAAGGCACCATGTTCTATTTAAATTAAAATGGTTTAGACTTCAAAGCCAAACTGTCAAATGGCCTTTTTATCCAAATTATTCCAAAATTCCTATGTTGATGTAGCATAGTAATGTAATAGTTTGTTAACAAGGCGAAAGCAAACAAGGTCAGGAGATAACACAGTCCTGAAAATATTGTCTTCTTCAGGTCATGACAGGTTACTTTGCTTGTGCAGTTTTTAAAATGCTGTAGCAAATCTTGTCAGTGGAGCCTTCTTTGAAAACAGATGCTGTCTGAAAAGACTAAAAGATTTTTGTTAAAATGATGACAAAAATTGACCGTTTCTTGTTAGCTCTAGATGTTGAGCACACTATGAGAAGAGGCACAAACTCAGATTTTTAATGCTTTCCTTCCTTATCCTTTTGACATAGAGATTACTATATACTTCTCTGTCAGAACCCAGAGAAGAAAGACCTTAAATCAGTCTGATTTATAGAGATATTTTAATAACTGATAGATTAACTTTGATCATTTAAACATTCTTCCCTATTTCTAATTTATATATGACTTCTTTAAAAACTTTAGCCCTAATACATAATCTGAATTATGCTTGAAGGTTCTTAATTCTTAAATCTGTAGATTTGATGAATAATCCCAAAGAATGTCTTACTTTGACTTCTTTTATTATTTTTCTTTTTTGACATAATTTTTTCAATTCAATAAAGGCTTAAATGATTGCTATAAAACAGTTCTGTTCACCTGTGCAAAAATAGTCATCAGCATAAAAGCTGCAGAGTTGATAAGTCCCCTCTGAATGCTAACTGCAAAATATAATTGTCATATATTACCAAGTTGAGCTTCTGACTGTATAAACACTTGATTTTTTTGTGCATTTATATCTTTGAGGAGAAAAAAAACAACAAATACATTTGTAAGCAATATAGTCCCAACAGCCTTCAATGCCTGTTGAGGATTATTGTATCTGAAACAGCTACATCATTTTCAGCTCACACTTCTGCCTTTTATTAATTAAAAAGTAATGAGGGGTTGGGGATCACAGGGTGTACAACTCCTTTCACCGTGAGGGTTTTTTTTTCCACTTTGTTCCCAGGATCCTTCCACTTTTCACATTCGCAGATGAGTATAATAATAAAGTAGGATTCTCCACTTAGAATTTACATAATTTTCTGTTGGCAATAAAACAGAGGAAATTTGGGTCTTCCCTGCCTCATGGGAGAGAGAGAAGGTAAAGGTTTCAAAGTGACATAATGAGTTAACAAGAGTCAGATTGTGTCAGGACAGGGTGAGAAAAAGCTGTGGAAAATGTATCTCAAATAATAGAGTAACTGTTCTCTCAGCTGATTTGTTAACTGCTGCCTTCAGTTATGAAGTCTTTTCTCTGTTCAAAGGAAATAGGAAGCGAGGTGTTGCAGATCCTTTTATGGAAGTCAGGCAGAAAACACTAATTATATACCATCAAAAGCAGGTGTAAGAGGTGATTATTGTCTACCTGGAGCTACTTAGGAGTACTGTGGTGCTGCATAATTGGGATTTTCTGCAAGAATAAGCTTTACAGGGATAGCATAAGAATTAATGTATCTATAACCTTTTTCCAACTGTTTATGATGCTAACCACTTATTTTTCCCTTTTCAAAGACATTTTGAAAGCACAGATCATTTTGATAGCAAGTAGTTTTAAGTGGGGTTACGACTGAGCAAACTGACTCCAAATTAAATTATTCACTGATTCTATTTTTGCTCTTTTAATCAGAATGGTTTCTATTTTAAAATGTTGTTACTACTAACATATCCCCCTCTGCTAGTCAAACAAAGAAATGGAGACAGGTTACAGAGATGTGAATTTTCAAGGTGTAATCCTTGAAAACCATGCCCTAATGTCAAAATCCAGGGCCTGCTTTGGCATCTGATCTTTTTTTTCAGTCTCTTGCATGAAATATATTATGAATTTTGGGCCATTTCTTAGACAGCAGAGATCTACACCACAAAATTGCTTCAATCTGTGGCATAGTGAGTGACACTAAACAGGGGTGCCAAAGATTTTAAATCCATAGGTAATGAGCAGTGTTCTTGTTCATAGAAGTCATATTTCTGAATTAGATGGTTGAGCAGATGAGTATGCCTTTATGCTTAACTGACCTGTGCAGTATTTCTACAGTAGATACCAGATATAAACATGGTGGAAATCCACCCTTGACATCATTAATGAACAAATGCAATATTTTAGCTGTCAGAGGAAACTATGTCAGTCAAGATATTTTGGTGAACCGTGATAATTACTCTTAAATTGGGACTCGAATTTCTAGAAACGTTTGATAAAAATGATAAAAAAGAATTGCAAGACAAAAAATATTTATTGCAGAGACTTAACCTAAGCAGATGAATGCTCTTGATTAGAATGAATTAGTTTAGTTTCTCATGGTTGCTTTTTACTGCTATCTTCTATAACATGGAAAATAAGTTTCATTGTTAAACATATGTCGACTATCACTGTATGAATTTTGATCACTGTGACTACATGGCACTAATGATCTAGTGAGAAAGTAGCACATTCGTTTTGAACATAGATCCCATTTCCTTCAGAGTCCGTATCCAGCAGATGGCACTGTAGTTAAGCTTTTGCTACAGAATACATTGTTTTCTTAATTTTCTGCGCTCCAGATGATCAATGCTGTTCCAAGATACTAAGAAAGATCTGACATAGGAAATTAAGAAAATTGGATTGGTTCACTTAATCTACATTCCGCATATAATTTAGTGCACTCCACAGTGGATGGGTCTATAAAATGTGTACACTGAAGCTTAAACTACAGCTTTTATAGGAAGGAATTGGAGTAGTTGCTCTTAGGCAGCATGGTCTAATGTGAGGCATCCCTGCCCATGGCAGGGGGGTTGGAACTAGATGATCTTAAGGTCCTTTCCAATCCTAACCATTACATGATTTATGAAATTAATCGCTCTTCTTCAGACAAATCAGCCCTTAACTCCTTTAATAGAAGTTTCACAGATGTTGATGCTAACATAGTCTCAAACTATGCAAGCTTGTCATTTTCTCTTAAGCAATTTGTAAGCATATTTTTCTTCAACATACGAGTTGTAGATTGTCTTTTTCCTCACAATAAAATGTTAGGGAATAAAAACAAGCAGATGATGTCTTTAAATGAAAATAAAATTTAATATTTTCAGCCATTTAACTTGCCGAGAGTTACTGAAACAGTAACTTTCAGGATAGTTGTTCACATATTGCTTAATGGTGCTATATTATAGGAGTTTTATTGCCTTTATTCTGATGTCTTACAGTGGATTACCTGGCTCAGGCATTTGATTCCCTTCGAACAGACTTGAAGACAGATGAAGGGAAGGCCTTATTTTTGGAATACCAGTGTGTGCCTATTATATTAAGTCACTTAAAAGTATCCAGTAGAGGTCTGCTTTCCATTGCTCTTGATGGATTACTTCAGATGACCACAGAATCTGGTAAAGTTGGATAATTAATAAAAATAAAAATAAAATAATTGTGAAAACAGGTAAGGTAAGCAGAAATACAGTGTGAAAAATAACAGAATTCTTCTGTGTAAATATTCTAATCTAGTATTAGAATTTGTTTGTATCATGTAAATTCATCAGAGACATAAAATATGCTTCTGAGTTGTCGTGTCTTTTCTTTTTCCTTGGAGTGCCTATGCTTTATATTTTGTCCTGGTTGCTTTCTATTTATTGATGTGAAATTTTTCATTGCTATTTTTAGGTTGGCTTTTCCATTTATTCCACTGAATTACCTTGCAGATGTTTTTCTTTGAAGTCAGGCTGTGCCAAGGAAGCCATATCATGAAAACCTGCCAGCAGGTGGAGATAAAAAATAGGCTTTATTTAATTTCTTTTTCTAGTTTGATGAGCAGCTCATCCCCAATCATTTTTCAGTTTCTGATAATTGGAAATTGCCTTTTTGGAAGAGATGGTCATGTTTTGCTGAATTTTACTGTGCTGTCACCCTGTAAAGGTTTTATAATCTCGTTTTGTCACAGCACTTTTCCAAGTGATACAGGCTAAGAATCAGTTGATAAACAACTGGATGAGCATATGAAGGTAGTGAGGCATTCCAGTGCCATGTTGAATAAACCTTCTGACTGGTTTGGGTAGGTTTTTTTTTAAGGTAGGAATTACTCACTGTCTTCTAAAACAGAAAAGGGGATGGGGCTGCTGCTATTTTTAAAATATACGTTGTTATTCTGGAAGTATTTTGTCACCAGGCATTCTAGTGCTAAAAATAGCAAGCATGTTTGACTTGGGATGGAATAGCATTGAGTTAAGAAGCCATTTTGTACTGATGTGAATGGCAGAAATATTAAAGTTTTAATCTTCCTTGCAGTCTCTTCTTCGGACATATAGTTAGTGTGTGGTCTTACACTGAAGTATTCTTCCTAATAGTCATAACTATGATTGGTTAAAGTGACTAGGAAAGAGGTAGTTGTATGCACAAAAGTAAGCTGAGCAAGGTGGATGGTGTCTGATATTACTTTGGGTAATGCCAATAAATAACAGTACATCTTCTGTTACCTAGCAGTAGTTGTTGTGATATACTAAATAACTGAAGCTTCAAGAATAATGGAGATACATCGTGACTCACATTTTGCCTTGTTGCTTCTCAGAGAAGATGTATTATATGTGAAATCAGGGAAGGGAGGAGTAATGTTTAATTCAATTGACATTTGATTGAGAATTTATTTCTCGGCAACTGGATATAAAGCCTTATGCAGGGCCTTATCTCTTTAGTAGAATAAATAGCCAGTACAGTAGTTACAGGCATGTTCTGCTCTTTTCCATTACATAGTGTGTTGCAGGAAATTGTTAGCAATGAGTAGTGCTGTTGGTTGGAATTCAATATTTTCATTCCTATATAAGCGTCCTATCAAAAAGTCATTAAAAGACAAACTAGAAGGTGGCAGTGAATATTTAGAGAGCTTGCTGTGTTAGATTAAAACAGGAATTTATGTTTTTAATGCTGTATTGGTGTGTAGCCTTAAAGTTGTAGGTAGTTGGCCATATATTAAAATATGCAATATTATTACCCCAAAAGACAGTGTCTGACCAAAGGGAGACAAAATCTAGTCTCTCATATTTTGGTCATGTAAGATATGCAGTCACAGGCATTCTTTCAACTTTTTGCAATAATTTTCAATTGGAGTATTCAAATATTTGCTCAAAAATATTACTTTTAGAGCTGAAATTATTTGAAGTTATGTTGGAAAAAAATTTTTTGTTTTTTTTTAAGTATTTTTAAAGATTAAAATTTCAGCTGGCCAGGTTGAAAGGTGTGAATCAGGTGTGAAATAACTACTGTGTTGTACTACTCTTCCCTGCAACTGCATGTACCTTCTGTTATTGTAAGCAATGAATGCCAATGATTCTGTATAGTCCAGGCCTGTCTGAGGTCCTCATGCAGGTTCTCTTCCCTGTAAGAAACATCTTGCTCATGTTCCAGAAATGAAACTTAGATTTCCCTCATATATTAAGGAAAATTACTTAAGCTGCATATGATGAAAGTACCTACTAGTCTAAGATGAATATTTCTGTTGCTAAAAATTGTAACAGTCTGCAGTACTGCTTAAGCCCATTGACAGATTTGCTTTTGGTGTGCATGTTTTCAGATTTTAGGTCAGTATCATTGCTTTTGGCTTTAGAGTAGATGTGGTACAATGGGTTCAAGATCCAAGTTTCCATTGTGAGTTCATACAACATTGACAGTGCTGATGAGGCATTCAGTTACTGAAAATACGATGTCAAATGCAAGAGTTGAGGCACTGGTGTCATCTGCTTTCTATCAATGTACAAGATCTTAATGGCAAATTAAAATGAACAGTCTTACTGTTGTGCCATCTTACTGGTACAAGAGAACTTTCAGTTTATGTCCATGCTATAATAGGCTTGTAACTTTGGCTTTTACATCTTCCACTACTTCTGTGGATTCTGTTCACTTCTTTTGGTGATAATATGTTTGAGGAAAGAAACTTTGCAGTTGAGTGAGTTTTTACCCTAACCATTTGCTTTCTGTTAGTAAATACTTGCTTCATTTAACCTAAGCTAGAAACTTTATAAGTAGCTGAAATTGAGTTGCAGGTATTTTTTAGGATACAAAATATAATTTTAAATAACTTATGTTTTATTTCCTGCCTTTTGCATGCTGGAGTGATTCTTTTCCTTCACATGAGCTCAGTGACCTAAGTTTAAATCTAGCTGGTTTAGTCTATCTTCAGTGGAAGCAATAGGTTGATTTTAAATTCCACATTTGGAAGAGTTAACAGCTTGTTATGAACCTGACAATAGAAAATCAGCCCAACAAAGGTATCTTATCCCTTTTCTCTTACTACATTCTAATACTTTTACCTACAAATGTCCATAATGGTGCATAAGTTGGTCCATTTCAACCTGTCCAGCCTTCTGTTTTAAATGTCCTTTCCAGTAGCTGATACAAGTGAAACACAGCATTGAAGCAGCGGTTTAGCTATATTTTCACTGTAGCTGTCTATCGTTATTGTTTCTTTTTCATGGTAAGATGAGATGAATGCCAGTTCAGGTTTATCATTTTCAGTCTCTTATTTGACTCTCCATACCCATTACTGGGATTTCAATCCATGTTTGTTTTTTGAAGGATTCCTATCTTTCCTTTGCTAGAAAGATTGAGTAAAAGCAAGTCCTTCAGGGTATTTTTAATGGTAGTGGTATTTTGCTTGAATCTGGGGCTTGAGATGAGTGCCATAAGATTCAACTTGATCCTTCTTTTGATCTTTGAAACTAATGAGTGGTCTGTAAAGGCAGCTTTCTTTCATCCCATTGCATAAAAGGGGAAGATATACATTCCTGCTCTTTTTACAGGGATGAAAGATTTTGGTACCAAAGATTTTCTTACCTTAGTTAAGGAAAGCAGGCTACCAAGCCATGATGTTTGGTTTTTAGTCCCATCTTTAAGCTATGAACCTGTCTAAAGATAGAAGTAAGAACAAAACTATCTCTGATAGTACTGTCACAGAAAATAGATTTAGTTTCTTGATAAACTCTGAATGTGCTTGGTGATAGATCTCCACAAATGTAGTGCTTTGACTGCCTTTGAAATTTTGGGAGCAAAACATATTAGCTTATAATGTATCTATTGCTTATAATGTATTTATTGCTTAACAAAACTCTTACCATTTCCCACTTGAATTACTATTGAAATTAATTTAATAAATAAATTACTAGTTCCTTTAAATCATCCAAATTTTTACAGTATGACGCCAGTGGCTTCCAGAGTATCTTCATACCCAAGTTCTCTTCCTATACCGAGTTCTCTTCCCAAGACTACAGATTTCTTTTACCAGCAGATCTTGTTTCTAGGACAGTAGTTGCAGCACTCTGTTCAAGAGAATTCCTGGATGCCAGACATGAAACATTTTCTGGAAACAAGCTAGTAATAAATAGCATGACGTCAGGAAGAAAATTTGCTCTGTGGGTGTTGAAGAATACCACATCATTAGTTTTAAATCACCCTGTAGTTGAATATATGTCATATACAGTCTTGTTGAATACTGTTGTTCCTGTCATCTCACTTCTTATGCAACTTCCTGTGGTTTTTTTTTTTTACCTGTGAATCAGTTAAAAGGGTTCCAAAGGATATAGTGAATTTATAGTCACCTATCAAAAATACCTCTGTTGAGCTGTGGTCTGATTCATGCTTGATTTGAGATCTGCTATCTGCTATCTCAAATCTGATATCAAGTGCAGCGCTGCCTTCCTCAGTTTCACCCTTTGCACTTTTGCACAAAACCAGTATGTCTTAAATTCCTCCTGCAGTGATGGCTAACTTCTATCATGTAGATTAGTACATTCCCCTTTCCCAACCTTATGGTCATTAAAGGAAATCAAAATTTGCTCATTAGACATTATAAAGCACTGGCCTTTGCTTTAAATAAACCTTATGTTTATTTTGTCTTCAAGCTTACTTCTGTTTTATAGAGAGAATATTTTGCATTAATGTGTGCTTATTTACAAATACACAAGTGCATATTGGAAAAAAAAATCTCTAAATGACTCTCATGTTCACTCTAGGATGTATTCTCATAGGGCTTAAGTATGATTTCTTAACCATATTAACATTGCTTAAGAGTTTTAGTAACCGCAGAAGTGAGCTGTATTTAAACATTAACTGAACCTTACTTATAATTTTTTTTTTTAGAAGAAAATATTATTGGCATGGATAACCAAGTCTGTGTCCAGATTTACTCTTTTTACAAGGGAGTTAAGCCAGTGGAGATAAAAAAAATGTCTCCATAGCAAGAAGTTGTAATCACTTACTTGTAAATTGAATTTAAGGTCCCTTCCAACCCAAACCATTCTGTGATACTACGAATCTTTTAATGTGAACTGCATATACGGACACTCTCCCTCTTGCTTCATGTTGGGATGCTTCCGTGACTAATGCTAGGTATTCTACAGTTCACACT